AGTAAGTGTTTACATATGTTCACCCATACATGAAATGATCTGAAAGTAAGAAAGATGCTTGTCGTTTTTCTCCTCTAATTCACTCAGTCCCAACATGTCCACTGATGCCAGATGTTGTTAGTTTTTTCCCTTTTTTTGTTTTTGTTGGTTTTGCTGTTTAAATCCACAACTAAGAACCCTGGAGTGATGATGAGATGAGGCTCTTATGCCTTTAGTTGCAAGCAAACCCTTGCTGTTTGGGGGTTGTTTTTGAATGAGAGAGGACGTTTTCACCTCCTGACTTTTACAAGGAGGATTTCAATTGAATTGGAGGTGGTGGATTTAAAAAGAAAAAAAAATCAGCTTCTGTTTTGCACGTCTTGATCCAGGCCACAACTCTGAGGCTGGGCATGAATTTTAGTTCATTTTCTGACCCCTAAAAAGGAACAAAAATATGTAAAACAAATAATAATGGCTTTGATATGTTTGGAATGCATATAAATTGTGTAGACACTGGAAAAAAGAGTGAAAAGATTTAACGTTGTTGCTAATATGATTTCTTTTATTTTTACATAATTTCCACTGGTGTGTGTGCGCATGGTCATCCTGCGTAGAGAGGATCCATTAAACACTCTTATGTTTGTTATAATCCTCAGATAAGTGAGGCCTGCTGTCCATGAGCACATACTTCCCTGTAAAACCCACACCTGTGTGTTCCCATCCTCACCACCCGAGCTGTTCCTGCTGGCAGTGCCTTTTGTCCCATGTGTTTTCTGCATTAACGTGGGTTTCAGCACACATTCAGGTGCCTGATTGAGTTACAAGTGTGGATCCTTCTGCTTGTGTGCGATTTTCTGGAATGGCGTTGGTTTTTATTTGTACTTTTTTTTCTTTTAATCCCCATTTTCAGAATGCTCCTCTTTTCCCTCCGCAAATCCCATGTGGGAGTGTGTGTGCATGTTTGCGTGTGCATGTGCGTGTGTGTGTGAGCGTTTTATTTATTTCATGGTTCACAACCATCCGTGTGAAATTATGTATAGGGTGTTGCTTTATTTTTGCAATTTATTTAGTTTTACTTGTACAACTGTGTATAAATAGGACTAGACCTGTACAGAAATTTAAATGAAATAAAAGGTAACCTCTTTATTGAAATGTGTTTGTTTAAACAGTTGTTTTGCTTCACATTCGTATCGAGCTGCATTCAAAGATTCCTAATTAAGTGTTAGTATGTTTATTTTGGTCAGTGACTCAGCTGTGCACCATCTACTAGATCCCTGGTGTAGTTTGGTCATGAACCTCAGAAAGTGCTGATCTGCCTGTCATGAGTTCCTTCTGAAAACCCCACTTGCACTACTTTCAAACCACCAGCAGGTGGCGAAACCTCATCTAAACCACAAGCACCATCTGTACATGCTGCATGCAAGCTACAGCTGTTCGTCCTACTTCGTGTTTTCTTTTTTTATCTGCTGACAGAAAACCCTAGAGCAGCAGTGCCTTCTTACAATGCACTGAGCTTCCCAAATTACTGCGATGATGTCAAAAGCTGATGTGGCTCTCCGCCCAGGGTGGCCTCACTTTTGTAAGAAGGGCGGAAGGGGGATGGTTGCAGCAGCTCAGTGATGTGTCTGTGCACATCAGAGATGGCCAGTTATGCGGAACTCGGTGCTTGAACTTTCAAGTCAGCTCTAAACTAAAGAAGTTTTTTCTTCCTGCATCTGATTATCTATGGTTCTATAAAAATACATAAACTAAGCCGGATCTCCACTGAATGTGGATTATGTGAACAAAACTTAAGATCATGAAACTTTTATTCTACTTGTGAACAAAAGAGACTTTAATGAGCATGAAAAGCACAACAGACACGCAATTCATTCATAAAATGAAGTCAATATTTTTTAAATCTTAATGTCTCTGACAACTTACGTAAAATGTAATGCTTAACTTTTTGCAGACTTGTGTGACAGATGATCAAAGCAACATAACCTTGACTTTTTGTTGGGAGGTTGGATTTATTTAAATAGAGTAGATTATAAAAAATTCCCTTGGATCTTTCCTTTAAGTCTTTTTAGATTTTTACACAAAACATCCCCCTGTTAGATATACACATGAATGGTAAATGTCCTGCGATAGATGACTTCAAAACCTGGTATGAAGTGGAGACTGGGTGAAATAACCAGCACCTCAACATTTCCCATTTCTTGTGTCCATGATAAAAAGAAACATTATTCAATTGCACTGCATGTTTTTATGTAGAAGTGATTTACAAATTCAAAGTCAGAAAAATAAATAGAAATAAAATTCAAAGATTGAAATATAAACGTTACTAACCAATCACAATCGTGATTGATAGTTTAATATTGAATCTCAGTTAAATTATCTGAACTAGCTAAAATACTACATCAGAAGTCCCTTTTCCTAGTGTTTCAGCTGCTCATCTTTTTGATTATGTCCCTTATTTGCCCTACACTGACATTTATTTACCTTGTATTTAATTTTTAATAGGCTGAAACAACATTTCCTCTAAATATTACCAAGGCAGCCTGAGCTCCAGCCTTGGTGTTTGTATCACAGCGACAGTTTGGTTTCACAATGAGTTCCCTTTTTTAGGGCTGAGTTAGTTGAACTCTGTTTTCACTGTCCTTTTAGAATATGGTGTTAAAGCAATAAACTAACAGGTGTCAGTGTCTGTCACGGGATTTATGACCAAATACAGCCAGAAACCCCCACAAGGACCTATAGGTAGCTTTGCACCTGGCCCTATGTTTTGCTGTAGCTGTAAATTCAGCAGTCGGGGTTAAACAGGGTGCCTGGCCACACTCTTACATGCCCAACCTACTTTAGAGGAAAGTGCGAAAAGCGTTTCAGTTTATAGGTATTGTCACATACACAGCCTAAGAATAATCAATATGGTGTTTAAGGGTTGGCTGTTGGCCAGAAGCTCACTAAATCTGTGTCAGCATGCATATTTATGGAAGCAAATATAGACAGGGCCCTCTTCTCACCTCTGAGAAAGAGCTATGATTAGCTTTACTCTCTGTAGCCACCATGTATCACTTTCTGAATTTAGCCCCGGTCCCCTTCTCATGCCAGCCCGGTCTTACTCCATCTGTCCTATTCGCTGCCTCCAACTATTTGTGTCTCAGTATGGATCTTCATGGCCTCTCAAGTTTCAGTTCGCAGTTTTCCTCTTAGGGTATTTGGAGTGAATGACCGTCAGCAATGTGTGGCCCTAACAAATTCTGCAAAAAAAAAAAAAGCCTATGCTTTAAATATTTAACAAGATAAACGCTGCTTTTCTTTACTTCTTTAAAAGGCTGAGCTGATTTTGCAGAATTAATTTTTTTTTTTTTAACAATGTGTCTAATTTTTCTCAATAAATGTCGCTCGTAGCATTTAAAATATTGCTCGAGATCTTAAATGGATAGGTAATGATTTCTTTAAATTAAATCTTGATAAATAGCTGTTGGAAGTCAATACCAGGCAAGATAGCATCTTGATTTACTATTGATTGAGTTTAGTTGACCCCAGTGGCTCAACCTCATTAAGAGATGTCAAGAAAAAAAACTTCTATGTAATAAAGCAAATAGAACATGACAAAAAGAGATTTAGAAATCTTTATGTTACTGTGATTTTTCCCTTGTGTGGTTGTTTTCACACATACTGAGAGTGGAACATGTAAAGGAATTCTAATTGGACGCTTCCTTTCTATTCCTCAGTGACCTAAGAGAGTATAGAAATTAATACAATTCTGTCTGCTTAAATTGCTGTAGTACCTTAGATTTCTATATAAGTTTACTTTTATATTAAAAATACACCATGAACAAGTTTAGTGCAAGTTTCCCACAAGAAAACAACTGATAACTCCAACTAATTATCTGTATCTGATTAAACAATGGTAAACACCACAAGGGCTTGAGGATAAGTACAATAGTGTATAGATAAACTGCTGATGTTGTTTTAAATTGGGATTTTTAGAAGGTGGAAGCCCACTTTGGGCATCCTGCTCTTGGACTAGCTGTTAGCTTCAGACACAGACCAACTAATCTTAATTTTTTCTAAATGATGATACCAGAACTGCAACTAAGATGTAAACTGATTTATATTGTTTTTTAAAACTCACTTGAAAAACCCTTTAATCTCTCTTTCAGATTCATTCATTTGGCAATTAAGAGAAAAGTGAATTGCTGTAGGTTTTTACAAATTCAGACTATCGGAAGGAAAAACCTTTCTTAAGTTGGTTGTCATAGATATTAGGCACAATCTTCTGATTTGCAATTACACACACAGTAGTTAAAGATGTAGCTGTTAAACCCATTTCCTTGATTACTTTCTGAATTGTTTATTACAATATCTACACAGACTGTCAGTTCCTGATTATTTACATGCTAATCATTTTGAAAAAAGCATCAGTTTCTGCATAAATGCAGTCCTGGGTCAGCCCCTGTCATCTGTCACACTGCATACACAGGTCTGTCGCAATAAACAATGAATCAGTTAATCTCTCAATAATTTCCATTCTGATTATTACTATTTTTTGAAGGGCGATTTTATTTGCAGGGACTTCATAATCGATTTTACTTGTGGTTTCAGTTGTGTGTGGGTTTTATTTTCCAGTTACAATGTTAAGTGTTATATACAAAATCAAAGTTTATTGATCTTTTAGAGAGCAAAATTGCTTTATTAGGCCATGATATATTACTTCAAAATGGTCTTCAAAAATATTATTATCATTTATCGCAATAACTTTTTAGGGCAATTATTGTCCAACAAAAATTTGTTATCATGACAAGCCGATGGACACACATTGCCAAACAAAACACTTCCCCATCCCCACTAATTGTGCAGATGACAATCCTCTGGATCATGCCAGTTTTTTCTTTAAGTGCTTCAAGGACATGCGGTGCTGTTGAACTTTGCGATAACATTTGGGATCGACTAACAGCCCGAGGTTCATCTGCAACGCACGAGTGACCGCTAGGGGGCGCCCGTTCTGCGTCCTCTCAGTCCTCCGAGCTAAGCGCCGCCCTGCTCCCTCCCTCGGTTTCCCCGCTGACTCCGGGCTCACTGAAGACGCCCTTAGCAACAACACACAGCTCAGAATAAGATCCTCTCTCCACGCTCAAGAGGGATTTAACAGCACTGACTTTCGGCTGAAGCTCTTCGCGAAGAGGACCCTCCGCTCGTTTTCCGTTGCGGACATGGAGATGATGTGCGGCTCTTGCTCGCCTGATCATTTGGCTAGCTTCCACTGAGGAACAGTGAAACAGCTCCGAGCTGTCCCAAAGCAGGACGAATCTCTGGGGGGGCTCCGCGAGTGGCAGCATCGCTGTTTGCTAACTACCGAGTCAGCTAACCGGGACGGGAATGGTGCTCTGGACACGCTCATTGTCCTGTCAGAGAAAGGGGAGGGTTGCGAGGGCCAAGACAGCCAGCTGTGATACTCGGACTCAAACTGTTCTCAGCGGAGGGAGCGGCTTCGGTCCGGACGGGTTGTTTTTGTGGCTGCTTTGAGAGCTAGCTGGGCTGGCTAGCTGCGGGTAACGACCCCCACTGCCTGTTGAAGTCTTTCCAGACTGCAGGCGAGGCTAATGTTAGCCAGAAGTATAAATACAGCAATCCGTGGTTTTAATAAAGCCGGGAATCACCGTTAAATATCAGAATAAAGAGAAAGAGTGAATCCCCCACAAAGAAGCAAAAAAAAAAAAAAAAACAACAACAACAACAACTTGAATTTAAACTAAAGCGGGGAGTGTTTCAAACACAAGAAAGACTTTAAAACAAAGTTTTTAGATGCTACTAGCTGAGTTTGCTAGGTGAAAACGGTGCGGACGCTTTTCTCTTTTTTTTTTTGTCTTCGTCTCTTTGGATGCTGGAATCACGTTTTAACAGCAAATATGATGATAATAAGCAGAAAACCAGAAGCCCCGATAGCAACAGGTAACCACAACACTTCTTTCTGTCGTTTGCTTTTGTTTGTTTTTGAAAACGCTAGCTTTTGGTCGTTTCGTGTACGAGTTTCCATCTTTTTTGGGGGTTGTCAACCAAACATCCTGCACCAAAAAGCGACTTTAATTATGAGCTTGGTCAGTTTTCCTTCTTTCAAATGTGTTTTCTGTGTTGTGATGCGGGTTGTAAACATGCTTCGTGCTGCTTATCAGTTTTAAGACCTCTGTGTGTTGGAAGATAGTCCAGGAAGTACTGCTCCTTTTTTTTTGTTTGTTTTTACATCTGTCCTTGTAAACCCTTCTTCTGTTTATTGTCGTATTATTAGCTTTATTTGGAATTTGATCGGGTCATATCACGATAGCTGTTATTTTAGTGCGTTGTCTGCAGTTTTATTGTTATATGTACCAGGAAATAAGCGGTTTATTCTGTCCATAGAGACACTGCTCAGAGTTACCAGGAAGCCAAAAAAAAAAAAAAAAAAAAGAAGTGGGGCTGTAAATGTACATCAGTTACAGCCCCACTTACACGTTTTATGATGAATGAACTGCTGGGTTTGTTTACTTGACTCCTGTCGCTACCTTTTGATTCCCACCAATGCTCCACAGATGTATTGATTTACTTTCTCCAGTTTTTTTTAAAGTTAGATTTGCACCAGTTGATGATTTATGAACTGCAAGATTTGAAGACAAAGACAAAGAGGCAAATGGTTCGATGTTTAAATCCAAATTTACTAGTATTTCTTTTTCCTTTTGCATTTAAAATGACTAATGATAGCATTGACCACCTTAATTTATCGTGTAGGAGTTCTTGTCCTTTGGGGGGGATCAAGCTCAGGAAGTGACAGCATGCATAATATCAAGTCTAGTCAGCACATATGGAGGTCCAAATGATGTTTTTAAAAATCTCAACCCCAGAAAGAAGTTTCCTTTTTATACTTATTCTAATTGCTCATTTAGTTGAGTTTGATAGACTCAAACGCAGCAGAAAACATCAGAAAATTTGGATCAGTGTGAACAGGGCTAGAGATTTCCAAAAGTAGTTCCCAGTCCAGCCTGGGCCATGACAGACAGGGGTTGGAAGCTCACAAGGATACAATTGATTACACGTCCTTGAGACAAGTGTGAACAAGTTCCTGAGGCAGAGAACTTGTTTTTTTGTTTGTTTTTTTACCTGAAAATGTTGAAATGACCAAAACTTCAGAAATACAAAATGACAAAGTTAAAAAATTAGTGGCACCTACTGGTCAAGTTATGTTCTTGTTGCCTGAAAAGCTAGTCATTATGCTCAGTTTAAATAACTTTTTGGTTTCTATAAATGTACCTTTTTTAAATGGCTTCCTGCAACTCTTTTGCTTTTTGGCCGAATGTCTTCACTCTATAACAACTCGCACACCGAAGCATGTTGTTAGGTTACCATGTAGTATTTTGGTGGGTTGTGTTCACGGTTCTTTCTTCAAAAAGATAGAATTTTTTCAGTTTCTGAAAACTGAAAAAATTTGGTCGCCGATTTGGGTTGGTCAAGCTGAGAATTAGCTTGACCAACCTGGTATCTTTGAGTTTCTGTAGCAACTCAAAGATATTTCCATTATTGGACGGATTTTTGGTTGGACATAAAGAACAACAATTTCTTTGCAAAGATTTGTGTGGACAAGTAAGTCGAGTCATCTACAGCAACTGCCGATTTCCTGCTGAGTAATTAGGAGTTTGCAGAAGGCTAATGGAGCCCATGCTTGCCTAATATTTTGTGTGCGCGGCTTTAATGTGGCTGGTTGCTGTGCTATGCAGGTTTAATGCGTCTGTATCCAAGCAGCAGGCCTAATCTGTTCAGAAGCCGGTCTGTTGACGGAGTTGCACGAGGGACGTGGTTCCTCTGACGCATCTGCATATGGTTACAGCATTCTCAAGGCCCAGTCGGTTAGAAGATCAAAGGGGGCCGAAACTGAAAGCTTTTGTCCGAGCTCGGGGTTGTAGTTTCAAATTTAAACAGATTTTCCTCTCGCCTTTTTTCTGCTGAACCAACAGCAAGTGTAGGAGCTTAGATGACTGTTGGCTTAAACAGCCGGCGGATGGTGGCTTGCCATTTCGGTAACTGCCTTCCCAAACGCTCTTGTTGTCGCCATAACCTCCTGCTTGTATGATCTCGGGTTACTCTAGGTGTCTGGCTCAAGGCCACAGAGGTGAGCATGAAACTCAGCGCTTATTGAATGGCAAGCCCACGCATCCATCCATCCATCTATCTATCTTGAACTCCCAAGCACACCTGGTGTGGGCCTTAAAAGATTTGGCCGATTGGGCAGATGGACAGATGGAAAGATGCTGTCGTCACTGAGGCATCTGTTACCCCCATTAGGCCAATAATACCACTTGCAGCGCTAGCGATCTGGGACCCTAAGCCCTATCTAAGCTGTTCAGGTCAGAGCTCTGGGCTCGGATACAATGTATGGCACACAATAGATACAATGGTGTACCTGCTAATAATGGCCTTTTCAGTGTAAACGTGGGCCGGGATCTTGTAGCAGGCAGTGTTCGCTCCACAGGAGGGGGGAGCCCTGCTGAGGTTAGCTGGAGGGATTGTCAAGTCCTTTGTTGTAGTGATAAGGTCGTTTTTATTTTGGAGCTGTCCAGATGACTTATGAGCTAATCAATAGGACTTTGCCTGTGTAGAGTAAGATTATTTCCTCTTATCACATTTTTCTCCTTGAGTGTTGCAGATGTTCAGGGGCCGCTGCCGTCGCACTGATTTGTTTGGTCACTTTTGTCCACCGCAGCGCGCCATGGTGACGGCCTGTACGACTCCTACATGAGAACAGACCACATTCTGAAAGACGAAGCAGACGCAAACAGCCCTTCTGGACTGCCCCCGATGCCCAAGCACACAGTGAGTAGTGCACAGAAAAAACACAAAGAGCTCGGAGCTAGTTAAAGCTTGTTTCCTGTGCCGAGGCTCTCTGTCTTGAGACATCCTGTTCCTCAGAGAGACATCCCCTACAGTCTGCCCTGTTTCTTCGTGCGCTTCCTCCCTCTTCCCCCTGTTTTTTTCTGTGTTGATTAGGGAAGCTTATCTCCTGCCTTCTTAGTGTTTCTACCGCGGTCAGTTTTATTCCCCTCAATGAGGAAGCTGTGATCATGTGAGTAACATTGATTAGTTTCCTGGAGGTGAATGAAAATGATTAATGCGGAGCGTCTCTGTGTCACAGTGAAATGTGCAGAGTGAGTGTTCCCCAGAGATCCAGCAGCAGCTTTTTATTTTGTCAGTTTAATAGTGCAGGGAAGGCAGATACACACTGTGTACAGAGCAAAACTATGCTTGCCTCTTGAACTCTGTCACAGTTTGTCGCAATAAAGCAACAAACTAATTTTTGGGGGCGGGTTGGGAGTTCAGTGTGACAGAACAAACACAAAGTTGCATATTTGTGAAGTGCATTTATATTTATCCCTTTTACTGCAGTGGAAACAGCAACTTTCAGAAGTTATACGATTGGTAAATAGAGGCAATCAGTGTATATTTTCACACAGAACTGTTAAAATATGCATTACAGCTTCAAAGCTACCAAGATATGACCATCTACTTAAATTGGCAGGTCAGAATATGGCACAATTAATCAAGAGAAGCAGCTTAGAGGCCCTTAATAGCTCTGGAGGAGCTGCAGAGATCCACAGCTCAGGTAGGGTATTCTGTTGACAGCACAACTATTGGACATAAATTCAAATCTTGTCAGAATAGAACAGTGGCAAGGGAACTGCCACTGTTCCCTTTAAACAGTGGCAGGTTTATTGTCATTATTTAAAGAAATCCAATAAAGTTCCTTTATTGTGTTAACTCATTGAGCCTGAATGCATGGCTCTATAACACAAATCCTAGTAAAATAAATGAAAGTTTGCTAAATTAAGATTTGCAGGTTGTAGTGGGAATTAATACCAGTTAAGAGTATAATTAATATCTTCTTTCTCTGGTTCTTGAAACAGTTTTCTCTCACTCTTCGTTAAAGAAAAATTTCCACAACAAGGTTTAATGTCTTAAAATGAGAGAGAGTTCCAGGGAGATAACTAGTCTTACCAGAATCTGACTACTAGTTAAACTCCTCATCTGCTGGTGGCGATTGCGTGACTGAGGAACCAATTTAACTCTGATTTATGCTGCGTGTTAATGCTCATTATAGAGTACCATCTGTCCGATTCTGTAAAACGACCTAAAACATATACTGTCTCTGTTCCCCTCTCTGAATGTCCCCGTCAGCAGAAAATGAATGCTCTGTTTTCCACATTCCAGCAAAAAAAAAAAAAAGGCTGGTTTGATACATTGTAAAGATTTATTGGACTTGAAAATGTGACCCACAAACCAAATCACCGATCAGCATCCTCCCTCCCTCTCCTGTTATGTTGGTGTATGCCCGCCGTCGGTGGGCTCGCTCAGAGGTTAGGCCTAGTTTTCTATTCTAGTCTGACTTTTCTTCTTTTAGTGTTTTTTTTTTTTCTTTGGCAACGCTCGCTGAGGTACCGTCCTCTGCTCAGCGTGACCGACAGGAGCTCGTCCCAGTTCTAAAGCACTCAGAGAGAAGCTCTATCCACTGTTAAAGTGATGGAAAACTATAGAATCAGATTTGATGGAAAATGCTGAACTTTCCCTGCTTTTGCAGACATTTAATGGCATTGTAAGCAGTTTCTATTAGTCTAAGGGGAAAATTGAACGTTATCTGTTCAATTTATTGCTGAAAGTGGCGATAAACATTAATTATTCCAAAAATACTCATGGCTTTTACAGACAAAATAAATGTATCACTAACTGATATAAACAAACTAGATTTTCCTGAGTGTTTGAAGTAGAGCTGAGCGAGATGCCGAAGAAAGTTGTTGATTGATGTGTAAAACTTGCAAGTAATGGAGTCTAATTTTTTTTTTATTCTTTTAATTTCTTTGGCTTATCTGTTTAATCTCAAACACTTAAAATTAAGCAAAAAAGTATTCATAATTATGCAACACAAGACAAATTAGGTTCATGTTTTCTTCCCGAATTAACAGAACGTTTTGAAAAATGGTGAAAGTCTTGAAATGTGAACGTGGAAAAGTACTCAGTTCAGGATGGAAACTGTGGATCCAGTTTAAGTCTGATTGTGACCAAAGTTTGCTGTGTTTTTGGGTGCTCCATAAGACGGGAACCTGCGTGTGCTCAGGAGCAAAATAAACGCGCCCCTAGGTGTTTCTGACAGCTCAGCGATAAGCTCTTCCCCATCTGTTGGAGAGCACAGATTCGCACACAACTCGCATTACCCTCAATAGTACCTGCGTTAGAAATCTGCTTCCCGTTTCCATTTTCGTCCGCGCTTCAAAACGATTTATGTTGTTTATAACGCCCTCGGCCCGGTCAGCTGGTAATCCATTATACTGGAGCACGTGCATAAACCCTTGATTAAATTTTTTTATATATATATATATATATATATATATATAATATATATATATATATATATATATATATATATATATATACACGAGCGCGCACGTGTTTGCCTGAGCATGAAAAAAAAAAAAAAAAAAAGGATGCGCGATCGATGACATTCACTGTGACTGCAGAACAGCTGCATGAGGCACTGCTTCAGCAGAAAGGCTCGTAATAAGTTCAGACTATACAGCTACATGTATGGAAACCAGTCCGGCATACCTCATCTACTTCAGGGACTCAAACTTACAACATAAACATTTCAAATCACAACTCCTCGTTTTGTTGTATCTGTAAAGTAGCGCGGTTTCAGTCATTTCAGCGTTGAGAAAAGACTGTTTCCTCCTCCCAAAACCACTTGGTGATTAGAAGAGCAACTTTTCAAATTTGAAAGAACAAGTCAGCCTGACTCTCTTTTTTGTCTTCATAGCTGCACTGCTTCTATAGTTTTGGGAGCGTAATCTGACTTTAATGACTATTATTTCCTCTCTGCTCCATAATCTTGTGGAGGGTTTTTCCGCTGTTGAGAAAGAAGAAGGTCAGACAGCGTGGAAGAAGGAATTTCTGGTGTTGCCAGAAGGAAATGCTTTACTGGAAAGGCTCAGGTCCTTTTTTTAGACTTTATAGCCCTACTCTTCCTTTGAACAACCGCACATATCTCACTTTACATGTCTATGAGTATGTAGAGTGATATTTTGATCTAAACACATGCAGTCTCTATTGACAGTACCTTATCCTTGTCCTAACACAAAAGCATTCGACACTGGAGGTCTCAGCCTAACAGAAACATTATGATTACCTCGAGGAGTTAAATCCTGAACTTTATGAGCTACATGTGGCTGTAGCGCTTTGAAGTTGCCTACAGTGTTTGACTACATTGGCTAAAAGTCTTTACATCCTCTGTGACATCTGGCGAGTTTACAGCCAAAAACCGCTATGTGAATGATCAACAAAGTTGCATGTGGTTAAATTCATCCACCCTCAATCTTTCGCTCCTACAGTGCCACAAAAGTTGCTTAATTGGCAAACAAAGGAGGCTGAACACACTATCCCAGCATTGAAAAATGGTGGTTGGCGCATCATGCTGTGAGGATACTTTTTTTCCAGTATGGATGCAGGGAAGCTGCTCAGAAATGGATAGAAACAGAGCAACCCTGGAGGAAAGTCTACTCAGATCTACATTTAAATGGATTGGATCACAGAATATTCATGTGTCATGATGGCCTAGTGTGGGTGGGCATTTGTCATGTAGTTTCTGTTTATAAATGTCTTATAATGATGTATTTTGTTATTTATTGTTGTCATGATGAGTTCCAGTAAATGATGTTTAAAACATGTTGGTTTTTAGTACTTTCTCCACTTTTCGTTCGATAAAAACATCAATAAATATCACTAAAGTTGAAAAAAATGATGAAATGCATTTACGACTTGTTCTGTTGTAAAGATACAAATTAGACTTCTTTATGCGACTGGTGTCCCAAAAGAAGCATGTTACAAATGGGGATGTTTTTGAAGAGCAGCATTTGAGTTTGTGGGGCTAAAATAGCTGCGGCACACAGCCTACAGTTTCCTGAAAAGGATGCAATAAAATGTTGTTAGCGTCACTTTTATCATTATTACAGTAGTGCTTTATAATAAAACTTCCAAGTTCAGATCACCCAACACTATGGCCTAGTCAAAGTCAAGACTCCAGAATTAATGGAATGGCTTGGCTGTTGTTTAAGAGGAATGTAAGCTCATAGAGAAAAGCCGCAAGGCATGAGCAGCTGTCATCAAAGTAAAATGTTTGTCCCACAAAGTTGTTGCTTCGCCACATTCACCATCTAATACTTTATGTTCGTCCACCATTTAAAATCCTCCAAAAACACATTTAAGTTCCCGGTTGTCCATGGAAATGTTTCTACAAGTTCGCTGTAAATGTTGAAAACGTAAACACAGAGGTGGTTGTGGTTAGTTCATTTGCATGTTTTTCAGTGAGGTGTTGGAGTTTGTCACGTTGGAGAGTTTTCAGTCAGACTGGATCCAGATCCAGTCTTGCCAGTTTACTAGCTGCAAGCTGCAGCAAGGCTGCTTGGCTTTAAACACTCGACTCAAAAATCGGTTGTTTATATTTCTGCTTTTCTTCATCAAAACCTGACCTGGTTCTACTATATGCTGAGCTCTCTGTTTTAATTTGCAGCAGTTATTCGCATCGTTTTTTTTTTTTTTTCACACTTTTGAATTTGGTTTTGGTCGCGTTAAAAAAAATACATCACCCTCTACTTATCACATCAATTATAATTCAACATTTAGGGTATGTTCGTGTCATTTTGGTTCCTTTTGAAATTAAAGAGAATTAGAGATGTTGTTTGTTTTTTTCCGGCTATTTTTCAATTATTAACATGTAACTGTTTGTTTTGCTGACAGGTTGTCGGTAACAAGGTTGTAATGAGGGATCAAATGAGTGTGCGAGGTGGCCAGTTGAAGGTCAAGTACCTGTATGAAGACTCAACCAATAACCGGAAAATCAACGCTATAACCACAGCTGTCATTCAGAACACTGGGAGCACTGGGCAGACGCCCTCCAAAACCACCGTCTCCACCCTGTCCAAGGATCACAGTGCGGACAGGTGAGGAAAATACACTCCAGTTATAAAATGCACCCTTTGAAGCAAGCTCAGCGTTTTTACCTGTGGCGTTTATTTGCCTCAGCTCTGACTCCAGTAAGGGCTCCAGTGAATCGTCTGGCTCACAAGGAGCTGGAAATGGCAGCAAACTGTGCAACACCCTGACTCCTGATCAGGCTCTGCGACTCTACCGGTCCCAGCTGACCACCCTGGAGCACACAGAGATCCAGGCGTACCCAGATATCTACTTCGTGGGACCCAACGCGAGGAAAAGGCCCGTCGTTCCCGGCGGAAGCAACAACTGCGGCTATGACGACGAGCAGGGTGGCTACATTCATGTTCCTCACGACCACCTGGCGTACCGATATGAGTTTCTGAAGGTAACTTAAATGCACATTTTTGGGTCCAAGACTGCATATTACGCACTTGAATTTTGCTTTCAAGTGAAACTGATACTGCAGCCCAAAAAAATCCTGGAACTTGATTTGAAAAAACAAAAACACAACACTAACTGATGACACTAATCCTAAGATTAGCAGCTTCCTTTCAGCATAAGTCACATGTGCAAAGCTTGATCTTGTCTCATGCTTGGATGACTCTTTACCTGTTAGACGACACCACGCCCATTTCCGCCTGGAGTTTCCCTACTTTCATTACCAACAAGGCAAATGGTTTCAAAATGGCGCCTTTTATTTCTTTTGGTGGTAAAAACTACTAACTACACAAGTTAGGGAATGCTTAGGGTGCTAAAGAGTGCTAAAAATAGCCATACTTAATAATACCTATTCAAGAAAAAGTAAGAAGTACAGTGTACTGCTCTACACTGTAGTAGAAATACTCCTAAAAGTAATATTTTTTTTTCTCCAAAAAGTAACTAATCACTACCTAACTCTGGCTTGGCTCTGTATCCAAGCTTCTTGTTGATTTAGTTTGTGCGTGAATCTAAAATGATTCCCTCTTCCTCCTCAGATCATCGGTAAGGGTAGCTTTGGTCAAGTGGCCAAAGTCTACGACCACAAGCTGCAGCAGCACCTGGCTCTCAAGATGGTGCGCAACGAGAAGCGCTTCCACCGGCAAGCGCAGGAGGAGATCCGCATCTTGGAGCACCTGCGCAAGCAGGACCGCAACGGCGCCATGAACGTGGTGCACATGCTGGAGAACTTCACCTTCCGCAACCACATCTGTATGACCTTCGAGCTGCTCAGCATGAACCTGTACGAGCTCATCAAGCGCAACAAGTTTCAAGGCTTCAGTTTGCCCCTGGTCAGGAAGTTTGCGCACTCCATCCTGCAGTGTCTCGACGCGCTGTACCGGCACAGGATCATCCACTGTGACCTGAAGCCTGAGAACATCCTGCTGAAACAGCAGGGCCGCAGCGGCATCAAGGTAGCACTCCTGACAACTTGCAGCTTTACAGCTTTTTACAGCTTTTCATAACCTGATGCTGACTCCTACATTTTTTGTCCCCCCCTCCCTCTTTCTCTATCGCTGCTAGGTGATTGACTTTGGCTCCAGCTGCTTTGAGCACCAGCGAGTCTACACCTACATTCAGTCGCGCTTTTACCGGGCTCCGGAGGTGATCCTCGGCTCGCGCTACGGCCTTCCAATCGACATGTGGAGCTTCGGCTGCATCCTGGCCGAGCTGCTGACGGGCTACCCGCTGTTTCCCGGTGAGGACGAGGGTGACCAGCTGGCCTGCGTCATGGAGCTGCTCGGCATGCCCCCCCAGAAGATCCTGGAGCAGGCCAAGAGAGCGAAGAACTTCATCAATTCCAAGGGTCAGCCTCGCTACTGCGGGGTCAGCACCCTGCCGACCGGCGCCACTGTGCTGACGGGGTCGCGCTCGCGGCGCGGCAAGATGCGAGGCCCGCCGGGCAGCAAAGATTGGAGCGTCGCGCTCAAAGGCTGCGAGGACCCCACCTTTACGGACTTCTTAAAGAAGTGTTTGGACTGGGACCCCTCTTCCCGCCTCACGCCTAGCCAGGCCCTCAGACACCCCTGGCTGTACCGCCGGCTTCCCAAGCCCCTCCCTGGGACAGAGAAGAGCCAAGGGGTGCCTGTGAAACGGCTCCCCGAGCACCACAGCACCTCCTTCCCCTCCATCATGACGAAGGGCGGACAGGGCCTAGGCACAACGGCTCCCGGCAACAAACTCAAGAGCAACATGATTGGAGACTCAGGGGAGACCATCCCTCTTCGCACAGTCCTACCTAAACTTGTCTCCTAATAAAACAACAAAAAAAAAGTGAGAGAGAATCCTCTGATCTCCGCTCGTTCCACCCACTCCTCAGGAGGAGTCCCACATGGAGGACGAGGTTTTAAAACTGGTTTGGTTGTTCTTCTACTTGTGTTTTTTCTACTGAGGTGTCGACACCCCAGTTTCTGGTTTTAATAATAGCGAAGCAAAGAAAGAGAAATCATGATAACAAACGAACAAAAAAAACAACTTAGAGGTTTTTATACAGAGGATTTCCTTTAATGGCTGTGAATTTTTCAGTTTGCAGCCTGTTGATTTTTAGATGATGCTTTTTTGGGGGGGAAAAAAGAAAATGTTCCTTGTGAGTGGACAGCTTTTTATTTGTGAAAAGAGAAGATGTTTTTAAACCTCTGCGTGATCTCTCATGAGCGTTGTAGCAAAAACGCACTCGAGCACACCTGCACTGTCACTTGGCTCACTTCACACGGGACGCCGCCATTTTGAATTCTCACTTTACACATGCAAAACTTGAAAAGGGCTATAGAGATTACTCCTATCAGGTTAGAGCTCGCGGGGTAGAAGGTGTGTGCTAGGCCAACGGAAGTCGACGGAAAAGAGAAACGCGACACAAATGTGAATTCTACGATTTTAAAGAGGTGAAATAGGACTGGCTTTATTTGTGGGGAATAATTACAAATCGCAGCGCCTTGTAAACTATTCACACTGCCTTGACATTTTCTGTACATTTTGTCATATTGCAACCTCCAAGCTGGGGATGTTTTTAGCACAGCGGGTTTCTCCCTGACCCGTCTGGTTTGGTCCTTGGTCTTCGTGATGCTGTTTGTTCAGTGACACTCTCTGGAAAACGTCTTTTGAAGTCACAGAACAGGCGCATTTCTCGGATTTTGTAATGCAAAATTATCAAACGACCCGACTGCATCCTTCAAAAGATTTTTTTTTCAAGAGGCTTCAACTCTTAAAAAAAAGTGGGATCAATTCTGGGAAGCTTCCCTACTGAAGACGAGGGTTCCCACACCATAATGCTGCCACTACCATGTCTTACAGCATTAATAAAGAGGGATGGGGGCAATCGGAGATAAGTAAACTTGGGGCAAATTTTACGAATATTTTAGAATTTTGTGTTGCATGGAATAATTGGGTTTCCATTACTCTTCACTGGCCTTACAGTGAAGAGTTCCCCCACCATGAGGCTTCCATTACCTTCTTTCACCTTAGAGGTGGTGGGTGAGATTTACTCCAGCAAGCCTATTTATCCATTAGATGATTTCTGAATGTGATTGACCGTATCGGATGCAAAGGGCTTCACTTATTGGGCCGAATCCAAATGCAAGGTACTATTCCGATTTTTTATTTATTTTTTTTGTTGAAGACCATGTACCATTTTGAGTTTGTGGTTGTAACATGTCAAAGTGTAAAAAAAAAAAAAATGTTCAAAACGTATGAATAGTTTTCCAAGGCACCTTTCTTCCTGCCTTTCCTTTTGCCTTAAGGACACCAGCCTGCTGTTCGACGGTAATGTGTGTGTGTGTGTGTGTGTGTGTGTGTGTGTGTGTGTGTGTGTGTGTGTGTGTGTGTGTGTGTGTGTGTGTGTGTGTGTGTGTGTGCTTTAGCCGCGAGGTGCTACAGTGGGAAACATGGAGGGGAAGGGCAAAGGGCAACCTAATTACAGCTTCTCCTAGTTTCACCACACTGGTGGGGGGGGGGGGAATGACAGTAGCACCAAAGGCGTCACCATCATACTCAGAACTTCGCAAGTGGTTTTACGAGAGGCCGGCTCACGTCACCTGGTAAATATATAGAGACAGAACCAGGGTAGTGCACACAAAAGCATGCAGGGCTGTCGTTACGAAACACGCACTCTGCCCTGTGATAGACGGACATTGTGAGGTAGCATGAAGAGCAGAACATTTTCAAATGAGCCCAGATGTAAAAGTTGGCGATGATTACTATTGTACTGAAGATCGACGCGTTTCTCAGGGAGACATGCTTGATGCATCCTTTTCATTCACTGTGCTCCTCACCAGTCATTCACCGCATGCAGATCTGTCCGCAGAGAGCGAGAGACTTCTTTTTTTTTTTTTCCCCAAACAGGAGGGCGGGTTGTGTGCATGCGCTTCAATCTGACCTAGATTCATCCCCCACTCTTCACCCAACAACTATCTCCTCTCTTCTCTGTCTGGTGTCGAGCGGGGAACCTCTCTGACGCACAGATAGTGGAACATGGTGCTGTCCGAACACTGAAACCCGTCAGGTGCATGTTGATTATGGACCACACCGTTTAAAGACTCTCAGCCCTTGTTTTCTAAGCGACTCTGTCAGGGATTTGTACTACTCCTCTGTTTTATATATATATATATATAGACAGAGAGAGAGAGAGGTGGTTTCTAATTGCTTTTCACATGAGATTATCAAGAGGATGTAAAACCTGAAAGTTGAGAAAGTTGTGCACTGACACGTTGTGCTCGAGGTGTGCGAGTCAGTCAGTCGGGCGGTGGTGTGTTTGGTGTTCAGCATGAAATCACAACTTGTTATCAAGACCGAGCAACTGGCATGAAAAAGAGAAATGTACAGTAACCAAATGAAGTTGTGATAGTTTCTTTTTCTACAAAAATAAAATTTACTGTTAAGTGAAATTTGCTGCTCTCCGTTCTTTTTTTTCTTTTCTTTTCTTTTTTTTTTTCTTCTTTTTCCGAATCTGATCACATGAATTTGGGTTTAGATGACAGTTCAGAAGTTTTAAGCGCAATCATTACTGGCATTAATTAGTTTTGGGCTTGTAGAGAAGCATTTGACTGTTTTTTTTGTCATTATGGAGGGATGAGACAACAAACATCCTCCCATTCTTAAAGAGATCATAACTATAGACGCTATAGGTCAAATATATGGATATACACTGTTTACAATATTTAGTCACATTTTAACCACTTTTCTTATAGGATTAGTAGTCTCCATTTAAGCTGGGTTGTTTTTTTTTTTTAAATTAGCCTGTTTAATCCATTCTGAAACTAGTCTGGATGTGTGTTTGGGCTCCACGCTCTGCCGGATCACTAAACTTCCATGAAGTTGGTTAGGATGTTCAAAAACAACAGAGGAAGCAATGAACACGTCAATAAACTACATTATGCTCGACCACCAGTCCATATACAGTGACGTGTATGTGGACATGGAATGACACAGTGCTGACTAACGAAGAGTCTGGTCCAAAACCAACAACCTCAAGCTTCACTTACATTTGCAGCTGCCTTTGTGGACGAGCGAAATGCCCTGTGGAGAAAAGTATTTTGGTCAAATTTGAGCTATTTGGTCAGAATGGCACTATATTAGGAAAACATGCTTTATGCAATGAAATTTCAGTGACTTTTTATGAATGAATAAATACTTAATAGTGGTAGTGTTCATCTAGTCTTATATGAGCGTCACCTCATTACTTTCTTGGAAAGATTGAGACCATTATACATATATAATAAGTACAAATATTAATACAGTGTATCAAGGTTTCTGTGGTAACAATAAATTTGGTAGATATTGAAACATTATTGTAGGTACCAATGTACAATAAGAATCCCCTTGGAGCTCTGGAAAAAAACATTAAGAGATCACTTAAAATGATCAGTTTCTCTGATTTTCCTCTTCATAAAGAGTACACTGAACACAATAAATGAACAGATCAAATATATCCATACAATAAATAATAATCATAGCTAAATCTACACTGACAACATGTCACTGAAATTCGAAGCAAAAATTTTGTATTTATTTGCAGAAAATGAGAAATGCATATTTTTAGCTTTAAAAAAATGCTACAAAAACATTTTTTTAGCATATTATTCACTAAAAATATATGTTTACAAATACTAACTGGTTTTACAAGGTGGTCTGAAATGTGTAGTATAACAACTCTTGATAAAATGTAGAGGTGAACACACATGGCTCACTATTTGGCAAGAAACCGGTAGATGCTGTCTCCTTTTCACCCCGTATTAACGCCTAATAAACTGTTATTAATGATTTATGAAGTGTTAATAGCATATCTATGAACTACACATTAACGCGTGTTTGGAAAGACGAGTCAACATTAAGCTGCTGGAGCTCCACGGCAGGAAACCAGTTTAAATGAGCTCCACCTATTCCGGTAAGAGGGCGCCGCTTTTGATCAAAGCGTCACAGATTAATATGCCATTCACTGTGACAATGAGCGTTCGGTAGCTTCTGACTGTGTCGAGCGAAAACTCTTCATTGTCTGGTACTCGCCACCGGCCTTCGGTATTGTGACACAAACTGGCTTTGATTCACCATTAACAAGAATTCGATTTCAGTCGGTGATCAGATTACAGACTCAGTGAACACCCAGGGAGACTGATGAGTCACCGACCTGTAAAACTAATACTTCCTTATTATTAGAGAACTTATCTAAATAACTGATAAAGCAAAACAAAAAAACACAGCCATAAGGAAATTATTCAGTCATATAGGGGAAAAAAAGATTGCTTCTCAAGTACAAAGAACATTCTGATATTTTTTGTCAGCATGCTCTTAAAATCAAATTGCTTTCAACATACTTTTTTTCCTATTTTTATGTTTTAGCATTGAGTATGTGAATGACCCGTCCTAAAACCATAATAATAGTTCATGTAAAACTCACTAATGACTTTTTCACATAGCAACGGCATTTCTAATTTCATTTATTTTTCTTCTACAGCCAAACCTTGCAGGAAAAAAAAAAACAACACAAATACAGCCCACAAAATTGAAGTTGTTGCTGGATTTCCATTGGACCGCTGAGGTCGTGCTTGTTGCTGCAGCTCCGTCTGACCTCTGACCTGCAGTGATACGTTACAATGGTGCTGCGCCGTGTGGAGTTTGGAACGGCGAGTTCAAGAAATTTATTTCTAGGAAACGTTGGTCAAAGCTAAACATTCACCGTGACATTCTGTCAAAGTCTGAGCGATTTTTCTGGTTAACAGCCCTGAAGCAGAACTGCAAGTCTGAAACGGTTCTCATCCGGATTCCTTTAACCTCTCTGTGGCAGATGTGACGCTACTGTCTGTGATTCAACTCTCGATTGACTTTCTGGATGGAAAAACAATGCCAGGTGTTGCATATTTTTCCAGACTCAATATATTATGCCGTCCCTGTAATAAAGAAGCAAGTTGATCGATCTATCCCGTCATAAGGACAGTCAGCCGATGAGCCACGCTTGTGAGTCATGGCTCTTCCCACTTGCAGGCAGGTTCCTGGGACATAGGAAAGAGTCAGGTACACATACACAATAAAAAAAGGAGGAGGAGGAAGAAGAGGAGGAGCAGGAGAGGGAAAAACCTGTTGGGTTACATTAGCTAATGCAGAAAACCAGATAATGTGAATGTTTTACGGCGAGAGAGACGGAGAAGGAGGCAGTGGGTGGTTGGCTATGTGTCAGAGAATCTTGGCTCATGTCTTTAAATGCCAGCTGGTCTTTAAAAACATGTTCTGCATCATTTTCTTTCTTTCTGGGTGTGTCTCTGTTTGGATCAGCTGTGAGTTGTTGTGCTCTCACTATCGTCATCATTCAAATAAGAGGCGCAGCAAACAAATAAACAAACAAACAAACAAGACGTTCTGGGCTCTGATGATCTTAATGGGATTTGTGTCTTGAAGTATCTGTGTTTTTCACTCTAATCTCTAACTATAATGATTTAAATCAATGACATCTTCCTCCAAAGAATTTAATTTCAATGGGTTTCCTGTGATATTTATTCTCAGGATCAAAACACAAGCAGTGAAGAATGACTGAAATGTTCACTGACAACTCTTTCAGTCAATGCGAAAGCAGATTAGACCAATCCCATTACCGACCAACCCAGTCACCCTGTGACCATATGGTCTAAGGATCGTCCTCTTTGACACACATTCTGTTAGCCTTGCACTTCTCTCCTCATCCACGCAAACATCCCGACGTCTGCAGACCTTTTGGTGCCACAGCAGGGTCTCGGCTCCTGGCCGTGGGCTGGGAGGGGCTGCGCGCTGACAGGTTTCTGATTACCACACAGGTTAAGAAATCCTGAGCTGGCCGTCGCTCCGCATTTGGCTTGAAGAGTTAACATGTGTCTCTGTCTCTCTGTGTTTCGCCTCTGTTCCCTCAGCCGTCCTGTTTTGATTTTTGACATGGTAAAAAAAAAAACAACAACCACAAACTACAATGTGTTTTATTGGGAAAAACACTTACAGTCGTGGTGGTTGATGGGGAAATACATGGAACTGAGTGCAGGTCAATACCAGAAGTAAACCTGTTACAGGCTAATGAAGACGAGAGTCACCTTCCAGGACAGCGCTGCTAAACATACAGCCAACTTAAGTTAAACCAACTTTTATGTTCTACTTTTACATAAAACAAAACAAAAAAAACAACAACTAAAAGACCCCCAAAAGGCCTGAAAATGTTTCTATAATATCAACTTTTAAAGCAAAAATAATGTTTTGTTTTATTTCATTTTAGTTTTTAAGCCCAGCTGTGAATTTTCCCTGGAACAATTTGATCTACATTTAGAGACGTGAGAGAGAAACCGATAAATCTGGCCAGTGAGGAAGAATTGCAGTTTTTCTGCTGTGTTTTGCTCGTTCACATAGCTGCATGCATTACAGAGATGTGGCTTTTTTGATCTCGCTGTTGTGATCCACCAGAGAAAATGGTCCCGTCTGGACCGAAGCGTGGATTGGGACTCTGACTCACCTCTCTGCAACAATTTCTTTTTTTTTTCTTTGTTCCCTCCCCAGTAAAACAAACCTCTTGTTTTGCTTTATGAAAGACAATATGGTGAAGCTCACAGGCTCTCAGGTCACAGAGTGCAGACACACAGTGAAGCTATGTGTGTCGTCTGGCTTCGGTCCACAGAGACAGCTGAGGGTATGGACCAGGAGTGGAGGCAGAGAAATGCCACATCAGTCCCTACACACACACACACACACACACACACACACACACACACACACACACACACACACACACACACACACACACACACACATGCTTATGCACAAACACAACACATGTCCCCACTTGCACAAAAACAGACTGCAACCCACTGTTTCTTAGTCACACACTCACAGTGACACGCTCACAGCTGAGCCCACACCAGGCACACATGCACAGTGAAGCACATGTCAATACAGGCTGAACAGATGCAGATCGTTGGGAGAGGTGGGGTCATGCTCCAATAACACAAGCCCACCAAACCTACCAATCTGCATTCCACCTCAGGGCAGGGGAGTTGTGTATATATTTTATTTGTTTATTGTTTTTTTAAAATCCAATGCCTGTGCAAAAGTTCTCAGATAAAACTTCTTTCCTATTGCTGCTGGTAAAAATCCTTCAGCTTGAGCTTTTTTTTGTTTTGTTTTTTGCAATACGTATCACCTGCCTGTATGCAGCCCACCTCCTCCACATTTAGGTTTTAAGTTTCCCCGTCTTGTTTACATGACAGGGACGGGTCACAGCCGGGACGGAAATAGAGGATGAGTCACTCTCTGTCCACAGAGATTAATCCGACTGTGCGTCTGTTTCTGTGATAAGTGCGTCTGCAAGTTTGCGTGTGTTTTTCAACTCCCGTGTCTTCCCAGTTCTCATATAGCCCGAAGGTAGCAGGTCTGCACGGCA